GTGTAGTGCTTCCCAGGCCGAAATAATTCTTTTCCTACTGCACGTTTGCTAGCTAACAGCTAACGTGGACTGGGCGAACTCTGAACTCTATGGGAAGGTTAGATGTGTAAAGGGTACAGCTCCATCTCGACTGCAGCTTTCTCCTCCGCTGTCAGCTGGTGGTACCGCCTGTGTCCCAGAGGGGCAGGGAAGCGATGAGTGATCCATCCCTTGGCCTCGGACCCAGGGCAGCATGCTTGCTGGCCCAAGGTCTTTGCACTCCTATGGTCATTTTTAGTGTCAATGGCCCCAAAGGAGTTACTGTGTATGAAAGTCTAAGGTCCTGCTGCTGGGTTATAGTCTGAATTGCACCTGCCAGTAATCTGTCTTGCTACCTCTTGGATATCTCTCCGCCCAGTTCACATCCTCCAGTTTTTCTTCAGGAAAATACTTCTAGGCCTCACTTAAAATGAATGTTGACACAGTGCTGAAACACATATGAGCCTTAGTGGTCATATCATCAGAGGCTCTACTTCCTGCTAAACTCTTTGTGCAAATAGTTTAGAGAGACCCCACTAGAATAGGGGTGCTATAACTACAGTGATTTAAGGTTGTTCAAGTAAAATACTACCTGTGTTTGTTTTGGTTAGACTGACTGATAGAGACAAGCTTTTCAAGCGGCACACAACCCCTTCCTGAAAGCCCCAAACTTTGCATCCCCATAGCCATCAAAATCCAGTATTGCACCTGTACGTGTTGCTGAATGCAATCACCGTCTACCCTTGCGGAAATCGGGCGACTGAAACCACACACAGCCGTCGCGTGCCAGAGCAAACTCACAGCCAACCTGCTGTCAGTGAGAGAATACTTTTCACCCCCTTCCCCACATAGCTTCTGATCTCATCCTCAAAGAAATACAGTAAAGACATTGAGGAGATGAGCTGGGGAATGAAAAGTCTTACCTACGGTAGCTACTTGGGCACCTCTGTCTCAATAAAGATTATAGTTTTACGGCATGTTACTGTTTTTCTTGTGCTTCACCTCAGTTTAACCACTCCATGTCATTCAGGTGATAATTAATTACCTGTGTGTTTCTCTCTCTGTCCCACAGGGGCAAACGACCTTATCACCTCTTCCTTTGCTAACAACCCCTTCTGCTCCACAGGTACCAACTGCCCCTTTGCCTTTAGCTAATAGATTAACTCAATTGAGCTAAATTCGAACGATTCTTTTCAAGCTGCGCATAGTCTGCTGCTGAAGAAGGGCTTGTGCGCTTGAAAGCCCGTCTGTTTTTTCCAGCTAAACCAGTTGGTCTGCTAAAGGATGACTACCTCTTCCTGTGAACCTGGTCCTGCTTTGGTGTACCTGCGACCTGCTGCGGCACTGTGCTGCAATACTACACACAGCGCTTGGTCAAGCTTTCCTCCCTCCGCGAGCTTTACAGATAGAACTTGTTATTGTGGTAGCTGAAATGCAAAGCGCTTCCCCGCTGCTCTTGCTAATATGAAAACCACAGCCCCACAGACTTCCTTTCAGTGGAGCATCTCATCGTGAGCACGCTGGTAAAGCCTAACTTCTTTTCTTTCCCCAAGGTCCATGTAAATTTGCTTCTGGTAGAAGCTCGGATGCAAGCCGAACTACTTTACGCTCTGAGAGCTATTACTCGCTATATGACCTGATGTCTCCGGCTGCCTGTCGACGTTGGAATGTTCTGCAGCTGCAGTATGGCAGAGGAAGATACGAAGCCTCAGGACCAACGGTAGCTATAAGTTAAGATGCTCATTGTGCCATAACTCCTTTTAGTCTCAGCTCTCTCCATGTTTGGAATATCACTGCTGCCACTCGGCAGTGAGCGCTTGGCAGTTGAAAAGACAGGGTTGTGCAGAAGTGCTGCCTGCTCTCATGGTATTTTGGCTTTAGACAGCACGGGACACTCTATGGACTTGTGGCAATATAGCAAATGATAGATACATAGATCTTGTGTTAAGGCAAATGCTGCGGGAGCTGGAGCGTGAAAAGAAGTGGGACTTGACGACATTTGCTTTCCCTATGAGAATAATTTTAGAAAATCTTGATGCTGCTATTTGTGCTGGTGGAGTGAACAGACACAGGCTGTTCCAGTTAAGCTAAAAGTGAAAGTGAGCACTGCTATTGTCTGAGCCTTTATTGTGTGTGGTTTCAAAAAAGCCTTGTTATTTAGATTTCTTTTTTTAATCAGAACTAAACCTCTTCTGTCCACACTGAGAATTTGAAAGATAGCAGTCAATTTTCTCAAATAGTTTAGCCTTAAAATGCTGCAGGACACTTGTTCAGCATTATTTGGTGAGCTCCCAGGTGCAATGGTCTTCGGATGGAACAAAGGGGACTCGAGTCCTCAGAGCTTTTGAGACCTAACTACGTGACATGTTGAGTAGCTTCTTGTCCCGTTTTTCAAGGAGGAACTGAGGAGGAGCTAGGACGAGATGTGGGAATGTTGTTCTAGACTGCCAAACAGTCCTACTGTATTACATGCCCAATGCTGGTCTTACTGATTTTTGCAGTTGCTTAAATAACTAGGCTAAAAACCATCTATTTTTAGTAAATCAAAACATGATTAAAATGCTGACGTTTAATATACAGTGGTTTTGGAGAACACATGAATACTTTTGTATGAGTGTGAATTGCTTTTTAAATTTGTCAGTATTACTGGTATTTTTTAAATAAAGGTAACAACTTTTTCTCCTGGCGTTTTTGTGTGGTTTAACTTTACACTTCTGTTCTTACTGGTTTACTTACTGGTTCAATGACCATTTTAAAATGTTTGAAACAGTAACTGAGCAAACAAAATGACAAACCATGAATTCTTCAACCTCACTGCGAGAGGAACACCTCTTGCATACTCCTGATGTTTTCACCCTTCCCATAGCCCTCTACCCTCTGTTCAGGTGTACTGTGTCATACAGGCTTTTTTCCTTCCTCACAGGTGTAAAGGGTGTGATATGATCACAGATTCCAACTGTATGTTTATATCATCACTTATTTTCAATAACTAGCTCTAAATATTGTTTTAAGAGTTAAACCCATTTTCAAATCCTCCTGTAGTGAACTTAGTTCCAGATTAGGCTGCTAATTTTCTTAGCCTCGTGCCAAAAAGCTATCTGGCATCAGAAGGATGGTCACGTCGGTGCAGTTAGACTGAGGACCTTATGGCAAGAGGTAACACGCAGCAGGAGGGGGATTTGCTGCAAGGGAGTGACAAATTCTTTTGGACATGCTGCTACAGCTGGCTGTAACAGGGGTTTTAGTGCACTCCGGTGTAGAAACTCCTACCTGCTTACAGGAAGGTAGGAGCCGTGTTTGTAAGGCAGGAAAGAAATGGATTTTCCCAAGCTTGCAGGCAGAATTAAATGCAGATTTCTGTCCCCTGGCCTGGTTCTCAGTTAGCTCAGACTGGTTTCTCTTACTACAGAACATCCTGAGAACAGTTTTCAGTTTACAGTCCGAGAAGCTAAAATATCTAAAAAGATCTAGGGGACAAACATTAATTTTTGACAGTTTGTTGTGACTAACAGGAAGCATCTGCTGCTTCCTCTTAACTAAAAATATGGGATTTTTAATGTTCCAAAAACAGAGCAAAACTTTCCTGTCTAAGGGCGTATCATAAAGCTAAGCTATGCCTACAGCCACAGAAGAAGTATCTTTCCAGTCTGTAAATAGAGTGGCTGCAGCTCCCCATTCTCCTGCTGCTTTTTGGGGATGGTCAAAGGTAGACATGAAATTGAGAAGCCTAATCTGCTTGTTTCCATCCTACACTCCAGCCACATGCAGGTACCTGCAGGCACTCTTGCCTCTTTTTAAGCAGCAAACACTGCAGAGTGTCTGTCTGTGTATGCACACGTGTGCGTGTCAGTGGCTTCATAGGGTCACATTTTCAAACAGACAGAGCTACTTACTGATTTTGGACAAGGCCTGAAAATGGCAGGGGATTTTCCATTAAAAAGGCTGAGGTGTTTGTGGTCTTAAGCAGAAGAGAACAAGCAAGGCTGTTTGTTACACACAGTGGCAACCAAAGACAATGGGCTTAGTCTTTAAAAACAAGAAGATGGTTAGGTTGCCAGAAGCTCCATGGAAGCGGCAATCGCTGCAACAGAGCAGCAGCCGTGTATGATGCCAGGGCATGAGGGGCAGGCCGTAAGCCCCAACAGCTCCCGAGTAGCTGCTGCAGAGCCTCGGCCTGCGGCTGCGAAGTGCAGCAGCTTGGGTGCACAGCAACAACCTCCGTGCACCTCAGATGTTGTGGGCGCTAGTAGTGCTGGCAACTCACCCCAAAAGAGCATGTCGTCGGGGGTTCCTGTCCAAAGGCTGCGGGGCAATGTGCGGAAGGAATCGGGGTGCACCAGCAGGAGTGAAAGGAACTAAATGGCTGGCCGCTGCGTGGGCTCAGGTAGGACTCTATTAAAAAAGAAAACAAACAACAACAGAACCACACAGGCTTTTCTTTTGAGTCTGTGCTTAAAGGAGCATGGCAGAGCCAACTGCCACGTGAGCAGCAGCTGAGAGCCCTCCCCAGCAGCCCTTGCCTTTCCATCTTCTTTGTAGGTTCTGTTGAGAACTTTGCACATGCGTGCATGCACACACACCTCAACCCAGATGAAGAGCAGAGCATGACAGAGGCCAAGTACGTGGTCACCGAACAGGAATGGGCGCCTGAAGTCACAGGAGCTTCTTCGTTGAGGTTTGTGGCAAAGCTGCCCAAATGGTAGAAGACACCGTAAGGATACATCAGAAATTCAGCATTTTGAGGCTTGCTCTTGTTACTCACAAGTTGGTTTTTTTCAAAGAAAGACATGGGCTGGTGCAGCTCCACAGATACCACTGCTGGGTTCTGCTGTTAGGTGCCCCTGAGGCCTCTGCTGCCCTCTCTGCTCTGCCCAGCTCCTCTGAACACGCCTCATCCTGAAGCAGACCCAGGCCCCACTCTGAACATGAGGCCAGAGCACACACACGGGCTGCCCCAGCTTTGCTCTCCACTACAGGATAGCCAAATTTCCCCTGTGCTACAGGACACGCTACACAGCACTCCAGGCCCCTGTTTACAGTTTGATTGGCAATGACTGACATGCATAACTAGCATTTTCTTTGAGTGAATCCCAATTGCCTAAATATCCACCTTGACCCGAGCGGAACATCAGTTTTGGGCTGTCTTCTGACAGATACTTCGTGCTTGTCAATTCTGATTAGACCTGCTGACAGGACTTGGCCACGAGGCCTTTTCCACTGCATCCCCACCCTGCTTTACACAGCCTGGTGTTTGCCTGCCTTTTGCCTTGATGCAAATGCCAAGAACAAATGCCTCTAGCTGCCTCCCCACCGGGGAGTACTTAACCATCATTCTTTCTTTAATACCCGAAAAAGCAAATCCATTCTCTTTCCCAAGAAACAAATGGGGCATTGAAGCTATTTATCTGCCCCCTCAACTTCAGCTAAAATTAAAATGGCAAAAGAAGGAATGATAATTGACATCTTTCTGAGCTCAGCAGAGCTGTTGTTGGAGCCACACCACACTAAACTGCTGAGCAGTTCCCTCCTGCGGACTACAGTGACTTGAGACTGCTGCATGCCCTCCCGAAGCGATTCGCTGCAGGGCTGAGCCTTGCTGGTCACAAGAAATACCCCAGCTGCTGGGACAAAATAAATGCTGAGAATTTTCATTACCTTCATTGAAGTTTCCTCCTCACTCCCACAGTCTGAGCCATGAGATCTCCCCTCCCCTACCCCATCAACAGTAAAGAAGTCCCCAAGAATGTAGAAGCAGGGACCTAAACTAGGAAAAACGTTTCCCTGCCCTTCTACTGCCGCTCTACTTCCCAGCCTCCTCACTTTGTCTCCTCACCCAGAAGCAGAGGTCCGGGCACTGCCAAAGGTACAGCGGTGCCACTGAGGGAGCTATGAACTGCTGCCTCAGAGAAACAAATTCCTCCAGCCTCTCTGCAGGGATTGCCAGGCTGGAGACTTGCTGTCCTGGCACACTCATCACCGTGTGAGGCTGCTGACCCTCAGGATCAGAGCCAGGAGCCCAGCAGCTCCTGCATAGCAGTTTATTCTTAGTAATCTGAGGTCGGAAAAGAGACAAATGGGTCAGGTCGGTAAAGCTCTCTGTAGCTAATTGGACTGTTAACACTTGAGGCCAGTGACACACCTGCTGAGCTAATCCATGGGCTACTAGCAGGGACTTCTACACACTGAAAGGATGAAAACTGATGAATAAACAAGCCAGCAGCAGTCAGAGGGAACATGAAGGATGCAGTCTTTTTTTGCCCCGTGGATGGAGACAGGAGCCCAGGGGAGACGGCTGGCCAAGATGGTCTGAGAAGTAGAGGCACACAGGTGGCTCCTGGGAATGTGGCAACAACTGAAAGAAGAACACACCAGACTAGCGAAAAATATTCTCTTACATTAGGGACAGGGGTGTTTTGCCTTAAGTCCCAATTCAGAAAAGCTTCTTTCCAGTGCAGCTCTACCTATAGCCCACCAGCACCGAGGCAGGAGCTGGGATACTCTAGCCACACAGCATCAGGTAAAGAAAGGGGGATCTCCAAATGAAAGGGGAGCAGCTTTCCCCATTCAGTCTGAAGAGTGAAGCTTATGATTTAACACAGCAGAATGCCCCAACTGCATTTGAGTTACACTGTCACAGAATTTCATATGAACAAAAAGCATGTCAAAGTCTGTAGGTAGAATGTGGCTCCTGTCACGTAACATTCTTTTATAGTGCACAGCATTTTTGATACCACAGAGGTCCAGGTACTCACGGTAGTTTAACCTTTTAAAAATTAAAAGTTTGGCAAATAGTTTTGTTTCATTTTCCCAGACAAGGAAACTATGCAATTAATGGACAAATCACACTGAACACCTGCTTGATCAGCTCAAATATATTGTAAAAAGTAATTACACATGCAAAAATGGCATACAAGCTTCTCAAAAGATAGTATCCGGTATATAAATACCAGGCTTTACTGACTTTTTTTTTTTAAATTAAATTGTCATGCTCTCCATGGCAATGTATGGGTATATTAGAATTATAAAGCTGTACAATCTACACCACACACAAAAAAAAACCTGATCAAAATGGAGTAATAGTCACAGTTGGAAGAAAGGAGTGATGGCTTTGAATTCTATCAAGGAGTTTTTCTGCCACAGGTTTGAACTCTCTTTCCCAATACAGTTGTGCCCTTAAATCACAGTCGAGGCCGTAATCCAACGCTAGCTCTTCATCTGTAATCAAGGAAAACATTTTTATCAGTTCTGAATAAAAATATACCCAACTATGTCTTTTATGACCACAGCACATACACAACTGGTAAGTTGTATGTATGTTGATGGCTTAAAAACAACTCTATGTTTAAGAAAAAGTAAGCACCACTGTCTGAGGGACTGACTTAGATTTAACTGAAAATAAAGGATGTTAAGGTCAGTAAAACGGTAGAAAGAGTATTGCAGGTTCTTTTATTCTCACACACCACAGGTCTAGCTAAACTGTATCTCCAAGATCAAGCATTTTCTGTAACTGTCAGCCTGGAAACTAGTTAGGTTTTCACATTACCCACAGCAATTTTGCTAATGTAAGTAACCAATTCATCTAACTACAACTATACGTTTTTTCCTGTCACAAATTGCTCTGCTAGTCTGGTTCATGAAGACTCTTTCAAACGCTATCAACTATCATACTTAAAGAAC